GTTCGTAAGAACTTCCCTTCGTAGGGATCTTCTCTTCCTCTTCGAAGAGCTTGCCGACGAGATTTTCTTCTACTTCTGCCATGTCGACGTTCGAGAAGGAAATTCCGGCGGTGATGGACCGTCGTTTGTCTAGATTAGGGTTTTCCTAGGAATCTTGCTCCGATACCATGTACAAAATAATAAGAGGGAAAATATTCTGTATATTCAATTGTTCTGTTTAGTTACAAGGGGTTTCTCCTTTATTTATAGGAGAGGATGATTCCAAAATAGACAAGGAATACAAATCCTACAAGGAAACAAATCATAATCAAACTAGGAAACAAATAAATCAAGATCAATCCTAATTAGAATGGGATTCGGTCATCAAAGGATTTGGACTTCTCAAGTTTGGATTTCTCGGAATTCGGACTTCTCGGAATTCGGATCTCTCGGAATCCGGATTCCTCGGAAGTCGGACTTCTCCGGATCCGGACTTCTCCGGATCTGGACTTCTCAGTTCCAATATGCTCTATTCTAAGTTTTGTTGTTTTGATCAGTGAATAATTGGCCTTTGAAGTTTTAACCGTTCACATTTTTTTTCCTTTTCTGTTTGCGCTTTTTTTTGGGGGTGGGGGTTGCGAGAGTGTGAGACTCGGTGTGATTTTTTAGTTTTCAACAGAATACTACTACGAGTCATGTTGTCTCAACATATTCTATCTAAAAAGAAGAGTCTAATTATATTAAACCATGCTAAGAGGGTGTTTGGCAGTGCGCTGCTTTTACTAATTTAGCTTCTGCTTTGAGTAGAAGTGATTTTATTTTGTTTGGCATGTCAGCTTCTGCTTTTCACCACCATTATTTTATACACAGAACACCGTTTTGGAGAAGCAAGTATGAGGTGTTTTTGCTTTCAGCTTTTGTGAAAATCACTTTATCCAGAAGTTAATCACTCCCAAACAAACTCTAATTATCATAATATCCAACGGTTGTTAATGATTGGGATCTCCCCTCATTTGTTTCAAAACATTTTCAGGCACAACTTTCCACCATCTCCTCCCACCCTTTCCCTCTGCTAGGGAGGGGAATGAATGGAAAATTTTGGTTCCCCACCTAAAATATTTTTTAACCAATTGAGAGAGAATCATTTCCCCTCCACTCCGGTGAAACACACCCCTTCAACGACATGATTCAAGATAATTTTTAGCCTCTTACTGGGGTTGAGGTTTTCGCTATTAGAATCACATCCCTCGATGCACCCCTATTTTTAACACTTCCAAATGAAAGTAAATCTTTCCTTGAATTTGTTAATATTTGCTGATTAAAATAATTGAAGCTATCAAACAAGGTTAACGAGCACAATATTTGTTCTCGATAATATCCATGCAGTGACAAACTGTCTTTGTGCTTGTAGGCTTCCTGCCGGAGCAGTGGGATAATTTCTTTGCGAAGTATCTTTACCCATCATTCACTCCCACAATTGCATTATTTTTAGCCGGCACAGTAACTTACGGAGTGTTGAAGTATCTGCAGAGTGAGAAATCTAAGAGTGAAAACTGATGATTGTTCTTCACTCACAAAATCCAATTGTAAGTTTCTGCAATGAATGCGGCTAGTACTTCCTCCAACCAGCTTGTCCAGGCATGCATTTTCCATGTATTGCTGCTCAACTGTAAGTGTGCAAAAAGTAATTTATCTTTCTACTCAAAATAGATATACCGAAATAATTGATTACGTTACAAGTCAGCCGTGGAGGAGCAATCTAGATCTACATGTCTCTATCTGTTGGATCTATTTTTTTTTGAACTCCGTGTCACCGTAATCAATCCTAACTACTGCACATCTCATAGGGGTATCTGAGTTTTGCAAGACATTTAGGCTTCATGAAGGAGGTTATGTTCATAAGAATAAGGGTAATCTCGGGAGTAATTCTAGCTATATTCCAAACGTGATTTGGTATAACTCGAATTGGGAGTAATTTAGGTACAGGTGACAAATCTTTTCAAAGTAAGTATCAATTATGAACACGTTTTTATTATAGTGCATCTCAGAAGTGGCCAAGAATATGTCCTATAGGATTATATGCTCATACTTACCATTGGAGCTTAGTAGCTTACCATTTGGTTTGTTGCTGGTAAAAGTGGGAGCATGCAAAGTTGTTAATTGAGTACCAAAGCCCTGAGATTCTTTAATGAGTGGGTGAATTCAGATGCATTGATTGTTGATATTGAAGTGTGCAACTTGAATGCCATGTTTGATGGGTTTTAATTTCATCTTACATTGGTAGCAAATAGTGATTTATTGCTCTCACCACACCATAGTTCTTCATTCACCCATTTCTTGATCATAATATACTTTCATGCATACATATATACACATACGTAGATGCATACACACACACACGTACGTATGTACATACATACATACATACATACTCCCTCCCTCCCTCCCTCCCTTTATCCCTAAAAAAATCATTTTCTTTTTTAAGGAAAGAATGTGTGGCTAAGAATACTTCTCTCTTCTTATGCAATGCTAACAACATTTGTTTAATTTACGATACCAGAGTACTTTTTTTAAACTCTGTGAAAGTCAAAGTAAAAGTTTTTCACGAAATAGAGGGAGATGTGTGGATGTGTGTCTGTGTTTATTGTCATCTTAAAATTTTATAGAAATCTAAGGGTATAACCTTTATCAAATTTTTTATATTGACCTCTAGTTTGAAATAAACAAAAAAATATTTGCACTAAATAGTATTAAAACTTAAGTCATTTCCCTAAATAGCACTTAAATTATTTTATTCCCTAAATAGCACTTACTAATGTCATAATGTCCAGAGATGACGAATATTTACTTGAATAATGACTAATTGATAATGACTAAAAATGTTACATTGAGAAAAAACACATGTGATGTTATTTAGAGAAAGTTGTTATGTTTTAGTGTTATTTACGTAAATTTTCCATAAACAAAACAATAGGGGCGGTATGATTGGCAAATTTGATTTTGAATTTTTGAGATACTTCCTATGTTAACAAGTTTTTTTCCTTTTATTATACACAAGGATAAACTTTATTGACTTTATATATTCTTGTTAGAGAACATATTATTTTATACTCTCTCCGTCCCGTTTTAAATCGTCCGTTTTGACTTTTGGACATAATTAAGGAAAATTAAAAATAGAGTTGATTTTTCAAAATTGTCAATACTTTTTAGGAGGGATGATGATGAATGAGAATATAATGTGGAGAAGATTGACTTATTTTAGAAGTAGTTTAGGTATTTTATTTTTAAAAGTTTACGAAAACAACTAACATGCAACTTATTTTGGGACGGAGAAAAAAAAATAGACAATTTAAAATGGGACGGAAGGATTAGTTTTTTATGTGGTTTTTAAAAATATAATTTTTATTTTATAATTTCACAAATTAAAAATAATTTGACTCAAATGGAAGAAAAGTAATGGAGGAATGGAGTACAAAAGCTGTGGGGGAAACGTGATGTAAAAAGTTATCTATGCATGGTGGTCACATCATCCATCTCTTGGACAAAATGGAAATCATAACTTCGGGCCTTCGTTTTCAAATTGGAAACTTTTTTCATGGGATAAAATAATCATATTCTTTTGCACATGAAACATACGCTGGTGTAAACTCTCTTTTTTTCAACCAAACAAAATAATCTACATTTTCATATCATCATTTTTGTCACGCTCCCTTTTTTAGCCCACAACATGTGTGGAGTATTTTTTTTTCTTTAATCACCTTCTTACAGAGTTACAGGTGTCTGCATGACACTTTATCAAGCCCTCTCAAGCCCGTTACTACATAATTGAATTGGCTTGAATAAAGTGGTGACAATTGAATTGTTTTCTTTAAGAAATGGGCGTTCTGCAGTTGACAAGGCAAAAAGTGCCGAGCAGGTAAAACTTGTTTTCTCACTCTTTGTTATCAATCTGTGATTGGGTATGAGGAGTTTCTTGGGGACAGGGATCAATCCTTTTTATTTGAATTGTTTTCTTTGAGGAATCTGGTTGGAGTTTGTGAAAGTAAAAAGGGAAAAGAGAGATGGAATGATTGGTGGCACGAAACTCAAGACGATGCATCCCTCGCCGCTGCTACCAAAGTACTCAAATCGACTTCAAACTTTTATTACTCCTCTCTTCTCTTAGGTATCATGATTAGACGTAGAAAGGTTTTCTGATTTATAATCGAATAACCAAAATGATTCAAATCAAACTGAAACTAAACTAAATATATCCGTCCTGAATTTAAATCTGAAAGCGATTAGATCCGACTGATTAGATCCAAAACTAATTAGATTCAAAACCCGTTAAATCTGATAATCCTAAGAAACAATTTTTTTAAAGTGGCAATAAACCATATTGAAGACTTTGTCTACCTACTCTCTTTCTCTCACAACTCTCATCAAGTGGCTTATGAGAAAAAATAATCTCATATTTGGAAGCTTTACATGAAAGAACTCATGTAAGTGGCTTATGAGCATTACAGTTACATTAGAGCCAAGTTCTTTGTTTAAGTAAAATGAATCATATATTCCGGCACTCCCCAATACATTCAAATGCATCTAAAAAGACCAAACATTACTCAGTACAAACAAAAATTTACCGCTGCAAATAATCAATTTAAGTTTGATTTTCACTACATTTCCATAATTTCTGTGACATAGATTGGTTGGAAATGAGAGGAAAGTACAGCCGGAATGCCAAAATGGCCCTTGAAGAAAGAAAGAATGAGCAGAGCAGTGTAAATATATAAGGTAGAAAAGAAGTGTTTGCTCATCTACTCTTTTACTTCGACTTTTACTCTACTACTAATTACTGATCAAGGGCATTGGGTCCAGAACAGTAATTCTTGTAATGGTTCCATAGCCACTGCACCAGGAACCTCCTCCTGATCCCATTCATGTTATAAGTGGCCCCGTCCGCGCCGCTCAACATCTGCCCGGTGTAGGACCCGCCGCCCCCGGTGCCGTATATCCCCTCGCAGAGGTCCGCGATTTCCACCGGGAATATCGGGTCCTGGCCCGCGTACCACGCGTTCACCAGCGGGTTCGTCGACATCTCGGCGATCTCGTGCCCGATCACGCTTATCATCCCGTCCACCCCGACGTCCCCGTTCGGGGACTTCACCGCCTTCAGGCCCGGTATGTAGGCCGGCACCGCGAACGGGTACGCGCACGTTCCCGGGCAAAACTTGGCCGAGTTGCCCACCCATGCATAGGGTAGTGTGTACCTTTAAATAAAAGGTAAAATTACCAATTTGCACATTTTAACCCCAATACATGTGTCATGTGTGGTTCAAATATGTCAAAAAAAAATTACCATCGGGTAAAAAAAATTCAGAAAGGAGAATTGTGTGGACGCAGATTTTAATTATGTCTATGTGAAAAGTACAGATCAATGCGAGAAGTACATGGAACTATTTTCAAGTGATGCATAATTGTAAAAAGTACTCCGTATGTTTGTTCTTTAAGACCTACTCGGGTATTTTAATTTTTGTTTAGTTCGGTTTTACCCCTATTTAGCATTGTTTAATTAAATTTACAACTAAATAAACGTTCTTTCTTTTTAAACATAAACTAAGTAAACTTTATTTTCATAGAAAAGAACAAACTCATCACACTACATTTATACCATATCAGTGTTTCTACTCAATTTGCTCCATCTGTTCCAATTTTGATTACAATACTTTTTTTTATTACCTCTCAATAATTTTTATTTATTTTTGTGTTTTCACTAATTATTTGATAAAATAAAATATTCTTGTCATTTATTAATTTGTAAAATTTTTGACGTAATTTTCAAATATGTAATTTTTGTATTGGTCTAACAATTTGTAAATAAAATGATTTCAAAAGATATTGAGTTTTACTTCATAAATCTCAATTTGTAATCAAATTTGAGATTGGGCTAAATCATGAATTATTATGTAGTAATAATTGTAACAAAAAAATTGTACAACTCATGTTATTGATATTAATAATTCCATCTATTTCAAATAAAAGTCCATTTAGACGGTGATAATGTTAATTACTATCTCTATCCCAATGTATTTGTTCAGTATAAGTTTTTTGAGTCAAACTAGAAAAATTTTGAACACCAATTACTCTCAACAATAATTTATAGTACATATTAGCATAATGAAATACAATTTTAAAAGCTCTCAATACGATAAATTCAATAAAGTCATTTTTATATTAAAATATATTACAGTTTTTATCTAATAAAAGCTCAAAGTTTGCCCAGTTTGACTCGAAATGATTGAGAGTACTTTTTGATACGCTTTTGGTAGCTCAAAATAATTGGTTTAGACTTTAGAGTGAATAATTGATTTTTTAAATGTACCCACACAAAAAAAGAAAAAGAGAAAAGGAAAATGGACATTTTAATACGGACAGAATATATTGGTATCGTACCCGACGATGGAGGGGAAGGTGAAATAGTGGAACCCACAGACATTGTCGCAGAAATCCTGGACGTACACGTCATCCGATGTGAGCAACAGGTAGACCCCACTCTTCGGGTTTACCGGCAACGGCCGGGTCGTCGCCGTCACGGCGGCTTTTATCACACTCTGCACAGTCAACCTGGTCAACGACTTCCCCTGCGAGTAAAACCGGTCGTTTTTCTCCGCCCCGATGTGGACGTTCCGGGAGATGTTGGCCCCGGTCTGGTCCGTGTAGAGCTGGACCGTCTTCCACCACCCGGCGACGGAAGGCCTTCTGGAATCGGCGGCGGAGATCGAAGCGATGAACTCCCGAATAATCCGCTTCTGGGTGCCCGCCCACTGGCCGTACCAGATTGGGTAGACGGTGATGTTGGCCGTGAGGACGGGGCCCATGTGGTACCTCAAGTGAATCAGATCCGAGGATCCCTCGTATTTCTTTGACCCGCCGAATATGTAGTCGGCGGTGCGATTCTGATTGGGCCATGGGCGCCAGCCGTTGACCGGAGGAGGGACGCCGGAGAGGAGGAACACTCCGATTAGGAGAAAGAGAAGCGGTTCTGGGCGCATTTTAGTAAGAGCAGCTTAGAATGATGTGCGTATGTATGTAACAAAGTATTGCTTTGCTCACATATGTGTGGGTGTATCGGGACTCGAGAGATGGAGAAAGAAGCTAAACTGAAACCAAAGGAGAAGATGGGCAGAGTGTAACTGTAAATAGGAAAAAATATGCCATAGGGCAAGTGGTCTTTAATAGAAGTGATTCTTTCCTCTCATTTTTTGGAGTGGGCTACTTGTGTGCAAATGCAATGAGTATTAAGGGGTAAAATTTGAGTTTGTTTTTTGACAATTGCGCTGGTCTGGTAACTGTGCTGAGAGTCAACTTTGCTAAGCATAAAGCCTCTGCAAGTACTAGATGCAGAATCTACACTTTGTCGTCAATCTGCGATCAAAATCAAATTTATTTTTTTCAGTGATCGTCTAACCAGTATACCACACATATTGTGATGTGTTGAACTTGAGCAATGCTAGGGGTACACCAAAAGGTGTACCCCAAATGTACACCACCCCCTTCTCCATCACACATTTTTATTTGATTTTTATTTACTTATTTTTTTAAATTTTTTTGCCCTTTTTAGTAGACAAGGAGGAGGTGGGGAACATATGGGGTACACCAGGTACACCTTTGGTGTACCCCTAGCATTTTTCGTTGAACTTTGATATTATTCATTAGTAATGAAATAACTTTTCTTTTCAAAAAAACGTGTATCCCCTCCGTCTACAAATGAACTTCTCACTCTCCTTTTTCATTCATCCCCTAGGTAGTGCCACTGAATTCAATTTTGCCAACAACAACGAAAAAATGAAAATGCTCCACAAGTACTTGCATATTAGAGATAAATCCAAGACTATTGTTTAAATATACGCTTTCGAACATACTACTCCCTCTGTCCCATTTTATAACGCTTATTTTGATTTACGATGTTTGGCTAAAACTATTTTTAAATCATTTTATATCACAAATGCTATATAGTTAAAAAAATAAAAATTACATATTAAAATACTACATCAAAAGATCTACAAAACCAGTAGTGACAATAGTAATTTATTTTATCAGTTTGCTAACGAAAATTGAGAAAGAAAGTAAATGAAATTTGACCCTGTGAATAGTGAACATACATTATAATTTGGGACGGAGCAAGTACAACTATTTGGGCCAATAGTGAGGGGACTTGGGGGTTAGGCATAACCTTTTTGTAACCAACTTACTCCGTAGTACTTTTTTATTTTTTTAAATAATTTTATTTACAAATTAGTGTGGAAATAAAAAGTACAATTACACATTTAAAAGGTACAATTACATTTTTTTTTTCTTCTTTTTCTTTCAAATTTTTGATTAGCGCGGCAAAAGAGAGAACGGGGAAGGGGACTTTGGACATGAGACTGTGCAAGTGTTTGGGAGAATCTTGACTACCCTCCCCTCGATAATCGGATTCCACCCATTTTATTTTAAATTCACCTTTGCTAAACACCCTACAAGTTATTAGTGTCATCCATTTCAACCATTTCACTTTTAAACGGTGTAAGGTAACCCAATCTTTTTTTTAAAAAAAATGAACCAAGCATGACTTCATTATTTATACAAACATTGTCAGTGTCTATAGAGAATAAAACTCTGGATAGACTGTGTAAATCATGTGGTTGTGATAATGTTTTGAATCTGATCTGTTATAGATAGTCTGTGTAAAAAATGCGATCCTGCTTGGAATCACCCTACCCTTTTGAAGTTATCTTGGCTCTATTGTTTCAGCTTTAATCTTTTTCTAGCAACCACAATTAATTACAAGTTTAAACGTTTGGCAAGGAAGTGATATGGAATTGGACAATATGTTAAATAACTTTAATTGATAAAGATTACACATGTATTATTCCTTGGCGGCCTCAAAATATTAGGGCCTTTTAATTTGTGAGCCAGCAATGCGACCTAACAAAACTTGTTTTTGAACAAAATGAAAAAATGTGCAAATGTGGTGTGTGTGTGTGTTTGATGGTGTGATAATTAGTTATGCTCATTAACTGGAGCGTACATAAGTTGCTCGGCTTACCCTTTTAAGGCCGGCAATTTAAATTTCAAACCACTATATATACATATACCAATTCAGTAATTCTCTCTCAATGTTTGGCTTCTTAAAAAAAAGAATTTGACAAATTTTAATTATCTCAATGTTTCACTTCTTATTAAAGGAAAGAGAATATTTGGTAGAATATTTGGGGATATTTGTGTATGTAGTTTTGGTAGTTTTTCTTGTATAGGGATTCTTTCCTTTTTCCTTTTCCTTTACTTATTAGGAGTCTCCTATATATATATCCTTATTGTAAATTGTAAAGACAAGAGAGAAATACACAGAATTTCCTCCCAAATAATTCTTTCATGGTATCGGAGCCAAAACCCTAGAGTTTTTCAGCGACTACTGTTCACGATCGCCCGGCATGGTGTCCATCGATCGTTGCTCAGTTTTAGTCGTTTGTTGCTGTTGTTGCCGGACAACGGAACGGTCGACCGTTGCTCTTGAATGGTCGAGCACGTCGACCGTCTCGTCGGCAGATTGTATGATAGATGCTGCTGTTGATTCTTCTGCCACCGCCGTACGCCACTCTGCTACCGCCATGGCCGATGAACAACCAAGGAAGATGTTTTTCTCCCTATCATCGTGTGTTTCCAGTGTGAAGCTTTCAGGTATTCCTGTGTCACCGCGTTGGATTATAGATACTGGGGCATCAAATCATATGACTGGTGATATTTCGTTATTGCATGACGTCGTGGGAATATCACCATGTGAGATTGGTTTGCCCAATGGGAAAAGAATTATTTCTGTACAATCTGAGAAGATTAAATTAACAGAAACATTACTTCTGCATGATGTCCTATATGTTCCCACTTTGAGTTGCCATTTAATTTCTGTGTCACAATTGACAAGGGATTCGAACTGTGAGGCACGTTTTGCCAACGATAAGTGTATACTACAGGATCTGTATTTAAAGACAGAAATTGGTATGGGTGAGCAGGAAGGAGGACTTTATTACTTCAAGGAGCCTGAAAAGAAGATGGTGTGCAGTGCGAAGAAGGAGAGTAAGTTTGATCTTTGGCACAAACGACTTGGACATCCTTCCTCTCATGTTTTGTCTCTTGTTTCTGGAGTTGGAACAAGTAAGAGTAGTCACAGTTGTTGTGACATTTGTTTGCGTGCTAAACAGACTCGTGGGAGCTTTCCTATAAGTTTTTATCAATCTGCTGATAAATTTGATATGATACACTGTGATTTATGGGGACCGTATAGGACTCCAAGTTTTGATGGGTCTACAATGTTCTTGACCATTGTGGATGATTTTTCAAGAGGTGTTTGGGTACATTTGCTTGATTCCAAACGCAAGGTTGGCATTGTTTTTAAACAATTCTGTGCTATGGTAGAGCGACAATTTGGGAAGAAAATAAAGTGTGCTCGCAGTGATAATGGCACAGAATTTGAATGTCTAAACGAATATTTCAAGGAGCAAGGAATTATTCATGAGACGTCTTGTGTGTCTACTCCACAACAGAATGGGAGAGTAGAACGCAAGCACCGACACATTTTGAATGTGGGTCGGGCTTTGAGGTTTCAGGCTGGTCTTCCGATTGAGTTCTAGGGAGTGTATACAGACCGCCGCACATTTGATCAATCGCACACCTTCGTCTTTGCTAGGGGGGTCACACCATACGAGAAGATCTATGAAAAGCCACCTTCTTTGGCTCATATTCGTGTTTTTGGATGCAGATGTTATGCTCATAACTTGAAGAGGAATGGAGATAAATTCGCAGCAAGAAGCAATCCTGGAATATTTGTTGGATATCCGAAAGGGAAGAAGGGATGGCGTATTTGCTACCCGGACACTGGGGAAATTAAGGTGTCCCGGAATGTTGTGTTCTGTGAAGATATTTTCCCTTTCTTCACTCTTACAGGTGCATCTCTTGATACAGGAAGTACAAATGAGGTTAGCTCTTATGATGAAGATGAAGAACTGCGGGCGGAAGAACGGATGGACCGTTCTAGGAGGGACGGTCGACCAGAGGAAAGCGGTAGAGCAGACAGGCTACAGACGGTCGACCGGATGGACCGTTCGGTTGTCCACGGTCGACCGTCCGAGAGGCAGAATGACGGGTTCCTGAGAGATGACCAAACGGTCGACCTGGTGGACCGTTCTGATATCCACGGTCGACCATCCGCGAGGCAGAATGACGTTTCGTTGGGAGATGATCAAACGGTCAACCGTGATGTGGAAGACGGTCGACCGTCTCCGAGGCAGAAAGTTAGCGATCCAGAACAGCTTCAGACGGTCGACCCCGTGGACCGTTCCACGGACGGCGGTCGACCGTCCTCTTCCCAGCAGGCGGTGGAGAACTTGGGACGTGGTCAACGTGAGAAACGTCCAAATGTACGCCTTGCCGATTATGTTACCCATGTAGCGGGTTCACATGTTGGTGAAAAATGCAAATATCCTCTTGCCTCGTATGTCACACACGAGAAGTTCTCTGACAGACACAAGTGTTTTCTCAGCGCTCTTGATGCTGGAGTGGAGCCCACAAGTTTCAAGAAGGCATTTCAGGATAAACGATGGAGGAAGGCTATGAGAGAGGAGATTGATGCACTGGAGGCTAATGGGACGTGGTCTCTTGTCTCTCCTCCACGCCATAAAAGGCCCCTTGGTTGCAAATGGGTATATAAGATCAAGCGCAAGTCTGATGAAAGTGTAGAGAGATATAAGGTCAGACTTGTTATACTTGGCAATCATCAGGTCGAAGGACTTGACTACAAAGAAACATTTGCTCCTGTAGTCAAGTTGACCACTGTGAGAACGCTTTTAGCAATTGCAGCAGTTAAGGGGTGGGAATTGCATCAGATGGATGTTCACAATGCATTTCTACACGAAGATCTTCAGGATGAGGTGTATATGAGATTGCCACCTGGTTTCTCGAATTCGTCTAATGTGGTGTGCAAACTCAAGAAATCACTGTATGGCTTAAAGCAAGCTCCAAGGTGTTGGTTTGCCAAGTTGTCTGGAGCCTAAAAACGCTATGGCTTTGTTCAATCTGTTGCTGATTACTCCTTATTTTCTTTTGTTGGAAAGAAAGGAGTCATACATATTTTGGTTTATGTTGACGATTTGATTATTGCTGGAGATAATACAGAGATGGTAAGCAAGTTCAAAGCCTATCTCGGAGATTGTTTTCATATGAAGGACTTGGGAACACTGAAATACTTTCTTGGCATTGAGGTGGCAAGGAGCACGTTTGGGATTTTTCTCTGCCAACGAAAATATGCCTTAGACATCATCACTGAGGTGGGGTTGTTAGGTGCCAGGCCGTTGGGTGCCCCGATGGAGCCAAATCATCACTTGGCTCGTTCCCAAGCCCCGGTCTAACGTCTAGGTCTTGGTATAGCTGCCAACCATCCTTCCAACCATATAGAGAGGCAATGTGCTGGCCTTGAAAGAATGCGGCAGGTGTGAAATCGTGTCAAAAACTTCCTTGGTTCCCTCCTAGTCACCAGACGCCGGGAATCTCAGCAAGCAATAAACTTTCCTACAGGTCCAGTCCCGTAAAAAGACAGTCGTCTCTCTAGTCTTCAACTCACAGGATGGTGTGATTCGGACTGGGCATCATTTCTTTTGACGAGGCGGTCATTGACAGGGTGGTTTGTGCAGCTTGGAGACTCGCCTGTCTCATGGAAAACAAAGAAGCAATCGACGGTGACTCGCTCATCTGCTGAAGCAGAGTATAGAGCTTTGGCTGTCCTTACATGTGAGTTGAAGTGGTTGAAGAATGTTTTGCGGTGTTTAGGGGTTGAGCATAAGGACCCCATGACGGTCCGGTGTGACAGCACGGCAGCACTTCACATTGCTGCTAATCCGGTTTTCCACGAACGCACGAAGCACATTGAGATTGATTGTCACTTCGTTCGTGATGAGCTCTTGCGAGGAGAGATTCGTACACTTCATGTGCCTACTACGCATCAGCTTGCAGACATTCATACAAAGGCACTTCGAAAGTCACGTTTGGAGTTTCTTCTTCCCAAGTTGGGCATTTCGTTACTACATGCTCCAACTTGAGGGGGGGTGTTAAAGGAAAGAAAATATTTGGTAGAATATTTGGAGATATTTGTGTATATAGTTTTGGTAGTTTTCCTTGTATATGGATTCTTTCCTTTTTCCTTTTCCTTTACTTATTAGGAGTCTCCTATATACATATCCTCATTGTAAATTGTAAAGACAAGAGAGAAATATAGAGAATTTCCTTCCAAATAATTCTTTCACTTCTACACAAAGAAAAAAAAGAGTTTGACAAATTTTATAGGGAAAATTATCTCAAATAATCTAATCTTTTCACCGTCTTTCAAACATAATTCAATTTTTCATTGTCACGGAAAATAATTTCACCTTTCCTCATGTTTAATTGTGAGTTTTGGATCGTCGTTATAATGTTAACATTTACTTAACAGAATTTTTTAAAAATGCTTGTCTTTTACAAATAAATGAAAGATTGGATTATTATTTTGAGCACTATCATATACTCCCATTGTTGGAGATCTTATTTTGAGCACTATCCTTGTTGGGGACTTGTCGTGCGGTCCAAAACAAATTAAAAATTTATAAATATCCTTAACTAACCCCCAAGATATAATCAAATAAAAACTATAGCTAGGGCAAGTAGGGGTCGATCCCACGGAGAAATATTGTACTTTTTAAAACCAATTTAGCATGCAAACACATTGTCACGAAAATAAATATAAAAAAAAAACAAACTACTACACAAATGATAATACTTATAAAACTTATAATAAAACTTATAACTACATAAATTTAATAACTTATAAATATAACTTATATAAACGAAGAACTATAATATAACTAAAAACATAAAACACATATTTAAGATATACTAAAAAAAGGTATAAAAACTTATATTTATAACTTGAAACACGAGGGGGGGGATTGAATAAAAAGTAAATATTTTTGGTTTTTATATTTTCTTATTTTTTTGGTTCTTTTTTATAAAATGGGGGAAAACAAGCTCAAAAGATAATCAACTTCTTCAACCTAGGTAACCCGAAAAACACCGCCAAGAACCCGAAACAAAATTAAAAAAAACGAACACAAATCGAACATTACACGTATAATAGGCACGTAGACAATATATTATGTAACTTACGCACTTAAGAATAGAAAAGAATTCAAAGGCTCGAGTTGATTCATATCCTTGACCACATATAGAGGATCGTCAACTCTCTATAAGGCCCGGAGTCAAAGATTCAAAGGCCTTTTGGTTACTTTGAACCCCCACTCA